TATATATATATATAGAATTTTGATAATTTCTATACGGCTGCAAATCAATTCATTCCTGTTACGTACGTGAATCGGTAGGAATATAGTAAACCGCCTTGTGTTCATGATGGCAGACAGTAGAGGATGGATGCCTAGAATTAGGTTATTGATTGTATCAGTATCGAAATAACTTTCAATATTTAAACTAAGAGTACGAAGAATTAAAAAAGATATTAAAAATTATAAAATATATGCTGGATATTTTTATAAAATTTGTTAAAAGGATTGGATGGAAAAAAAGGAGTAAAATTAATATGATATATATGAATAAAAGTTAGATCAGGGTAGTAGATCTAAGATGTCTATTATGTCATTGATACATGGTATCTATTAATGGCTCAATTAAAGCACATTTCACCTAGAACCTATCAAGGATCTTCGCATGATCATGAAAAAGGTTTGAAAGTGGTCAAATATCAATCTTAAATGATTGTAATAAAAATTTTTTGGGTAAAATCAAAGGTTGACCTCACCTTATAAAAGCTCCTTGCCCATGAGCATATGATAAGATGCTTCCATGAAAACTTTGAAACTTAACAAATGTAGTAAAGGAGTAATTCCTTAAACTATACTTTCCTCTTCTTCTCTTGGTCTATCGACTTTACTAGATAATGCTAGATGGACTTGTTCGATGTACATTTTTTTCATTCATAATAGAATCACACTGTCAATACACTATAAATGAATCCTAAAAACGTTAACCATAGAAATTCATCATCTACTTGTGTCTTCATGTCTCATTTCTGTCACCCTTCCTTTAAGGCTAGCATCATCTCATCGCACCAATATAACGACTCCTTTGTTCATATAGAGAGTGTACTTATCATTGTCATTTATAGGTTGTGGTTGGCATCAAGCATCATTTATCTAATGGAAAAAATAATTGGTCCCATAAGTTGTTCAAAGGTGATGGTGTATGTTGCGGTATATCATTAAAGAAGAAGTATTGAAGGGCATTGTGGTGGTGGAAGCAGTGGTTGTGATTGATGTTATAATAAAAGAGCATTGAAAAATGAAAATAAACATTATGTAAAGAAGAGGAGGATGAGTGATAAAAATAGAGTAAAAGCGGTGTAAGAACTTATTAAGGAAATAATGATGATAGTTTTAGATTCTAAAGCGAAGAAGCTAAATAGAAAGAAAGAGTTGAAGAGCTTGGTCAAAGTAGATCCTGACACTCTCATTATATATTGCTAGAGGAAGCTACAAAATTAGCATCTATCATGAATAATAAAGATGTCCGTTTTAAGGATGCCATCTACCTAACATAAGTGGGTGTTGGTGTAGAGGGCACCACCTAACTATATCGGACAAACATGTCGATCATATGAGCTTGCATGACTTATTTGTGATCAATTTGTTAGTTAATAATTATAGAAAAAAATATGCTTTTATTTAATAATTTATTTCAATAAGCTTTAAGAGCTTTTGTGATGCGGGAGCTAGAGATTTATTTCAGTTTATATGCCGTGGTTTATGTATTTTAATTTGTTGTTGTCTCTTTATTTTATGATGAAATAATTATGATTATGGGAATCTAGTCTTTATAAGTAGGTCCTTTTTGTGTGGATTGGGGATGAAGAGTTTTGGATTGGTTTTAGTAACTTTTCCCATATCATTCTAAGTTAAATGTATTCAGTATCCTGGAGTGGCGCCCAGGTGCTGATCAACTATCTTTCTTTCACTTAATGCCTTCTTTCTCTTCCTTAAGATTTTTGGTTCAGCTCTTCTTCTTTTATAGATTATTTGAATTGCAGATTTCTGTTTTTATATTGTTCTGGTATCATCTTGGTATTAGAGCAAAGATTTATGCTATCAAGATTTGTTGAATTTTGTCAATCTAGAACTCGGTACTTTGGAATTCAATTCTTTGTTTTTTCTTGCTTTCTTCCTACCATTGCTATCCTATGGACATATTTTGTAGTAGATTTTTGCCCAAGCTTTTTGAGAGGATTTCAGTTTGATTTTGTGGCAGAATTCTGGCGAAGAATCTTTCATAGGCTTGAGGTCAGCTTTTGTCGAAGATTTCTGTCCAATAATGTTCTAGCAAACAGATTTTTATCCCTGCCTTTGTGTGTGGTACACCTTGATACTAATTCTTAATAAGAATTTATAGCCTTTTTGAACCCTTTTCTTGTATTTTTTGTAGCAAAAAATCTGAAAATAGTAACAGAACACTATCATTCTTTCCCCTTGATTTCTAGTAATTATTTTTTCTCTTTTCTTGTTACTAGAAGCAATTGAAGACGCCGTCTAGGAGAAAAGATGTCTGTCCAGCCTGAGATTTGGTTGTGGAAGAATTGCAGCAAAAAAATCATCATCTACATACAAGACTGGTGCTTCTTGAACAACGAGATAGGGAAGAACATCAAAATGAATCAAAAAATGAGGTGATTGGCAAGGAATAAGATAACCCATTCATCAAGAGACATCTAGTGATGAAAAACTTCTAAGTATGTTAAGGCGTAAAAATCAATGGAAACCTCCAGATTCTAGAATCAAAAGCAACCTTCTTGATGTTGATGGAAGATTGGATCGTGTTGAATTCATCAATTGGCAACGTATGATTGAATGAATTCTTGAATACAAAGAAATGTCACAAGAAATATATCGTCAAATTGGTGGCAGTAAAATTTAAGAACACCTCACCCTCGTGAGAAAACTTGAAGATGATTCGATAAAGAGTGGTAAGATCCAATATCATGACTTAGACAAAAAAGAAGAAGGAAATGCAACAAACTCTCGTATTCAAGCATTAATGACAAAAAGTCTTCATCCAGTTTTATAAACTTCATCAACAAGAATCATCGAGGAGGGATATATCGCTAAATTTGAATAATTGGGGCTGAAGTGCTATCTTTTTGGACTTGAAGAGCACATTATTGCATATTTTTTTGATGGTCTACGACCATCTATTGCAATTTGGTTCAACTCTAATCGTTCTGGACATTATAATGCGTTATTAACTTGGTGATGAAGGTTGAAAAGCAACATAAGTTAGATCGGAACACTCCTATACACAGTCCTTTCAAAGATTTGGGCGGTTCCGTCAAATCAATCCTTCTCTTGGCACATGTTGGTTGTCGAAATATTGAAAATAGTAGCAAAAATACTTTTCAAATGGAGGTAACTGCTACCACAGTGAGGGAAGGAACTACATATATTATACGATGCTTCAAATGCCATGGGTTTGGCCACATAGTCCCTAATTGTCCTAATTGGTGAATTATTTCATTTGTGGAGGAGGTTGATCTAAAAGAAAATGAAGTGATAAAAGAAGAAAATGCTAATCCAAAGAGGGACCGAATCTTACATGCGGAGGAAGATAAATTACTTGTGATAAGAAGTCTCCAATTGTCATAATAGATGCAAATTGCAAATTAAATTATAAGACATTTATTCAAGCAAAACAATTTATATTAATAGCTACAATTTATAAAAGTTTATAGCCCATTACAAACTTAGTAGGACACTTCAAACGTTGATGTCACTTTATAAACTAATAAGCATTTTGCCTTATGAACCTATATATAAATGGTTTTCTACAAATTTTGCCTTAGCCTCCATTAACATTAATAGGTCTCTGTTAACTTGAAATGCTATGTAATGGCTAATATAGCCTAGTTGTTGTGGAAATTAATTTATTCCTATTTTGCAAAATTTTTGTTATTACAAAATCATTCCGAGCATAATATGGATTCCACTTTATATATTATGCCCTAAACTACCACTAATACTTTCATTTCCACTTAAATATTGTCACCTTCATTTTTTTTATAGTTGACACATTATTTTTAGCTCCTCATTCTCATTATAAAACACGTTTTGCTTCCATCTTCACTATAACCTCATCTTATATTGCCTTCATCGTTAACCCTTATGCGACCACATGTTTTGTTTATGATGAAAGGATGGCTAAATATATGATTTAAAATTTTATGGATATAAAGATTATATCCACGAGAGAGCAAGATCACATGTTTGCCTTGCACATTAAATGAGAAAGAAAAGAGCTTTTAGATATAATGTAAGAATTGAAAAATATACATATTTTGGGATATTGTATATCAGTGATCTATGATGAATATGATGCCCATTAGAAATAAGACGATGATCATATTCATAATAAGGAAAAATATTATGTAATTACATTTATGATAATGAGATGATAAGATATTAAAGATAGAAAATTCAATCATTAATTAAAATAAATTAATATTTTTATGTACATTATAATACTAATAATTAGTAACTTATTTATATAAAATGAGGTATTAGTACATCATGAACACATATCAAATTTATAAATAAGTTATAATATTAATCTCTTG